TTTTTCAATAAAAGTTTAAAAATCTCTTCTCTCCCCAAGGTCTTTTCCACTGACAGAGATTAACAGGAATGGGACACAGATGTCCCTATCCTTCCTTGTCTCCTGCACCTCTGACACTTTGGGGAAGATGTATAAGCAATCATAATGCTGTGTTTGCAAGTTTGGTTTATAATAAAAGCTAAAGTCAAAATGAGTAAATATAAAGCAGACATTTCAAAGTCCATCTAATTGCCACAGAAACTGATTTATCTTCCCCCCCTTCCCAATTTATAAAACTACTGGCTGCAAACTGATGTTGATTCAAAGCAGGGGACAGGGATGAGGAATGAGTCTCAGGATCTGGCCCTCCTATGGTGGAGGAGGGGCTGTCTGAATCACTATGAAAAAGGATCTGGTCTGAAGCCAGTGGGAGAATCATCTAGGAGACAATAAGCTAGTGTGTGTGATTGGGGAGAGAGTTAGGTGACCTACTAAAAGTCACAGGCCTGATTTTTTGAACTTATGACCATGTCTAGAAAATTTGCTTAGTACTCCTGTGCTCTGTTCTTCCAACCCTCAAAGCTCCATGGGACTCCATCTCTAACCCACCTCTATTTTAAGTATGGGCAATGGAACCCAAACCTGTGCAATATCAACATAAACAGGAAGGAAAGTTTTCTTTTAGAAAATGAAGACCCCAAACCTTTGGCCTGGGTCTCACCCATAGCCTACTAAATTGGAAATTCGTATTGTGGGAATTTTTACGAAGTTATCTAGATGAACCTAAATGATCAGCCAGATTTAGAAATCACTGTCCAGAGCAGAAAGAGCAAGCCCATGGTACAAGAACCACTTCTACCTCTTTGTCCATGGCTGACACTAACAAGCAATACCAGCTGTCTATCCCACTGTACCCAGCCCAAGCTCAGACTCCTCCTCTGGGAAGCCCCCAGCAGTCGATGAGAGCTGGCTTATGAAGTGACCCTCAGTTCCATCCCTGAGTGAAAGCCGAGCAGCCCACCAACATTTTGTGTTTAGCTACACCCGTAGCCCAGCATCTAGAATAGATCGCTGTCTAATCCTTCTAGATTTCCAAAATCTTTTCCAATACTCAATCTTTTCTGAGCCTCCCAGTGGGAGGTAGGAAAGGGTGAGGTAGGAAAGGCAGGTATTCTCATCCTCATTTTACAGGTTAATAAACTGAAGGTCACAGAATTTCTTGACCTTCCCCAGGACCAAAGAGATGGCAAAGGTAAAGATAAAATATCAATCCTGATCTCCTGTCCCCAGACCAGCACTCTTCCTTCCTGCAGAGCTGAGTACGGAATATTGAGGGCAAACTACCCCTGAGTGCAGCAAAGAGACCGACTGAGCCAACACTGCAGAGAAGGAGAGGTATTCCTAGAGGGTGAGTAAGGTGGCCAAGGTCTCAAAGCCTTAAAACTGGAGAGCCAGCCATAACCAGGTCTGTCTGACTGGAGTCCTGTGTTCTTCCTGTTCTTCCAGATCAGTCCTGACATGGAAAGGGCCCTTCCTTTCCTTGCCCCAACTTCCCTCACTTCCCCATCCTCCTGGCCTCCTCCTACAGAGGGTCAAGACCTTCTGTGACCTTCAGTTTCCTGACCTGTAAAATGAGGATGAGAATACCTGCCTTTTCCACCTCACTCATTTCTGGGAGGCTCAGAATAGACTGGGTATTGGGAAAGACTTTGGAAATCTAGAAGAATTAAACAGTGATCTATTCTAGATGCTGGGCTATGGGTGTAGCTAAACACAAAATGTTGGTGGCTGCTTTCTTTCCCTTCTTCCCAATGGTGTCATCCTCTCAGCCTCGCTCACCTCTCCACAGCCTACCCCCCCCCCCTTTCTGCCCCTGTAACTTCCTCCCAAATGCAGAAGGAAACCGCCCTGCTTACTCAGAGCAGCCTCAGCCAACTGACTTCAGATAAGACGAGCTCCTTGGCAGGGAGATGTGAATATAAAATTGCAAACAGCTTTTGAAGTTGCAGATCCATAATCTTCTAAGCCAAAGAAGAGGGGTTTGCCTCTTCTCCCCCGGTCTAAATCAACACTCCAAAGATCTGAAAAGAGGCCAGCCAGGCTTCGGATGTGATCTCAACAAGCCTGCCTGCCACACACATGCATTTCCAGCCTGTCGCCCGAGCAAAACCCCCATGCGGCTTGTCACCACCTGATACAGGGGATGTGTTTCTACTGAAATCAAAGCAAAGGGGTGTGTTTTGCTGCCCTTTCATGTGCTCAACTACATTCTGACTGACCTGTGCCCTTAGCTTTTTAAGCAACTAAGCACTTTCAAGTTTAGAAGGTGGGGTGCTGAGGGTTTCTGAACACAGGAGCTGGCCTCTGCTGCTTAATAGTGGGCAAACTCAGCCAACTCACATAACCCTCTCATCTCAATTTTCCGTCCGCAAAATGGGACTCTTAACAAGTACTTTACTTCATACTTTAATACTTGCATACCTCACACTTTCATTAGTACTCCCATTATGTTTGTTGTAAGTATTAACACAGACCATCCATGTGGAGAATTTACTATAAGGCTGATGCAAAGTAAGCAATAAATATTAACCATCATTGTTCATTGTAAAATTGAAAACACAAAATTCAAGCTATATATTACATAACTTTTGGATTTTAGATGGCATCTCAGCAGGTCCTCTTAATATATTAGGGTTATAGTAAGTAGGTTTAGATAGATGGTCATGCACACAACTGCAATTTTTATGTTTCAGTATTTTTTCTGCATAGAAATTAATGATTAACAAGAATTAATAAACATCCTTTTAGAATTAAATCATCTTAAAACAGTGCTGATATTATACATAATTTTGTTAGTCTCTATGGTATTCATTTCTCTATTTCCTAATTTTCTACAAAAAAGTATGCATTATTTTATAGCTAGAAAAAATAAAACAAAATTATATACATAATAAAATTAAGCACAAGATGTCTTGTAGTGTGTAAACACAGATATCTAAAGGAAATGGTAATCAAAGTATAAATAACGGAGATTACATCATGGCTTCCCCTATTGGCACAACTAGACATTTCTTTTGGAACATTTTTGAGACCTCGTTCTCCAAATCTAAATAGAAACGGGCCCCAGATATTGCTTAGATATTATTGGCAGTAGTTTCAGCCCAGAGAAAAGAAAAACAAAGCCTTTTTTTTTTTTTTTGCAGTTGGAGGCCACCACCTGAGCTTGTTCCATTCCTGTAGTGAAAAGCCTCAGCCTCACAGGCCTGTTTAGGGATGACTTGCCAAGTGCACAAAGATAGGCATGCACACGCACACACACATATGCTGACATATACCCCAAACACTGAGTTTCATTTCCATGGCTTTGTTTCTTGGGAGCACTAACAGATATTAGCAGACCCCATTTCACTTTTTCCTTGATTCTGTCTGGGAATTTCAGCCCTCTCTCCCAACTTAAATAGTGAGAAATGTCCCCAAATAGATTTTTTTTCCGACTGATAATATATTAGTTCTTGTAAGTTGAGAAAATGCTAGTGTCCTATGAGCATGCAGAACAAAGTTTAAAAACCAATGTTAAAAATCCCACTTTGAAGTACTCATATATGAAAGATCAGGCGCCGTAGAGAATCTAATCTGTTCTTAGGATCTATTAGCAAGAGGAACCAGCTGGGTCATTTGGCACAGAACAAAAGCCCAGGGGACCTCAAAAGTTGGCTGTTATTTGGTAGTAAATTCAGGCCTCTCAGAGGTTGAGAGAGGTCTTAGCCAATTATATATTTGGAAATTTCTAATATATTAAAAATTGAATAGATGCCAAAATTCTGCTACTAAGAATATGGTATTTTATATGTTTACATTTAGCAAATGAATGCTTTTGACCCAAGTATAATTTCAAAACCATATGCATACCTTCTTTTGGAGATAGCTCAAACTTAAAGGCCCTTCATCAATGAGAAGCCCAAGGCAAATTGGCCCTCTATTCCTACCCCCACCATGAGCCTGAATAACTGATCAGAGGACAGTGTGAGAACAGTATTGCTTCCCATGCTGATCTGAACTCAATGCCATCCACCCTTGGTCCAGTTCCATCAGAGGGGTAGGATACCAAAGGCCAAAATGAAAAGCATCAAACCCAGGGCTATGAAGGCCATATGCAGACTTGAACCACTCTTTCCAAAGCAGACATGCAGATGATGTCAAAAACTCCTGTCCTGAAACAGCGTTCTTAGCTCTTGGGATATTAAGCAGCCAGTGGCCTCATTTTCTTCCTTTCTACTTTTTTCACACATAGAAGATCGGATCTAAGACCCTCAAATCCAAAGGCACTGAAGAGGGGAAATAGATTCTTGAAAATTATAATGAGTACTCTTAACACCTGTGTTTCTAAAGCCCTTTAGAGTGGGAAAAATAAGATAATGATGTAAATATATATCAGCAGATTCCATATATATTCCATGCTATAGGCCTTATGGGTCATCCATGTGATGACTGGCCCATACCAGGTCTCCTGAAGCACAGGAGTAGAAAGACAAAAGGAAAGGTCTCTGAAATGAATAGAGACAGACAGAATGATGCAAGGGCCTTCCATGAGTGATCTCATGGCAATCCCAACATCCCTTCCTCTCTGTTCAGATAATATGACTATGTTAACTTAGCAATTGTTAATCTCAGGCTCCTACATCCTCCATAATCTGGCCTCATAATACCTGGCATATGGTGCATGTTGTAAATATTAACTGGCCTAAACTGATGCTTTTAAAATAAGTTAGACAACTTGGGAGCCCGAGGCAGGAGAATCACAAGTTCTAGGCCAGCCTGGGAAAGTTAACAAGTTCCTATCTCACAGTGAAAAATAAAAAGAAATGTAGTTTAGTGGCAAAATGTCCCTGGATTCAATCCCCAGTATTGAAAAAAGAAAAGAAGAAGGCAGTGGCAGCTGCAGCCTTCATGGGCCATTATGAGGTTCTGAGGGACATCAGACAGGGCAGCTTAGCCAATGTAACACTGGCCAACACATCCTGATGGGGACAGAGGTGGCCGTACAGAGAAAGGTGCAGCGGGACTTGTCCTCCCATCATGTCCGAGATGGATATAATGAAGGCTGTGGAGCACCCCCTATGGTCCAGTTGTTTCAGATCATGGAAACCCCTGGAAATGTCCACATTGTGATGGAGCATGCAGGTCAGGGACAATAGATGCCTCACATCCAGGAGGCCATGGCCTTTAGGAGGAGGAGGCCAAGAGAGTGTTCAGGTAGATCTCGAGCTCCCATACTACTGCCACAAGGAGGGCAGGGCACACCAGGACCTGAAGGCTGAGAACATCCTGGTGGATGCTGGAGGTAGGGTCAAGGTTTGTAACTCAAGCCTGGCTTGCAGGTTCAGTGCTGGACAGAAGCTCCACACGATTTATGACACCCTGTGTACTGGGCCCTGAAGCTCTACCAGTAGCAAGAATGCAAAGGACCCATAGTGGCTTCTGGAGCCTAGTGTCCTGTACCTCATGGTCATAGGGTGCTTCCCATTTTATGGGTCCACCTTTATGCAGGTGAAAATGCAGGTCCTATAGGCAAGGTATGTCATCCACTCCCACCTGTTGACCAAGGTGCAAAGCCTCATCTCAAAATTGCTGACCATGCAGACCACGAAGAGGCCCACGGTAGACCAAATAATGGGACTGAGCCAGGGTGAGGAACACTCACCAAGGCCTCCAACTAAACCACTTCCCAAGCACCCAGACTCCTCAATATTGATGGTCATGTTTGACCTGGGTTACAGCCTGCTTGAAATCTGGTATTGATGACAACCTGACAATTTGATGAGACCACGATGACCTATCTCATGCTCCAGCACCAGAAAACCCAAGGGTGGCTGAATGGTCCACCTGAATCCTGTGCAGCAGGAGTGAGGTCATGCCCATCCCTCTCCGTCCCTTCCAGCTTCACTCTGAGCCCAAGGAGGAGTGCTGGTGAGCTTCCCCTTTGCTCCTTCCCCCTCTTGCTCCGTAAGCAGCAGTTGCCTGAGGAGCACAGGCAGTCAGGGCAGAGAGGAAGCAGATGAGCCAGCCTGCTGGCCATTCCCTTCTGTGGCCTGCTGGCCAGCACCCCCACTCCCAGCCTTTTGGCCCTTCTGCTTAGCTGGTGGCCAAGCAGCAGTGGGCAGGAGGCAGAGAGCAAGCCTTTCCAGGCTGTGTTATCAGAACAAAGCTCTGTCTCCACCAAGCAAGGCTATGGTGGGACAAGTGGCTGTACCTGTGACACCAGGGGCAAAGGGAGAGTGACAATAGGATTACACTGTCTCACATGGATATGTTGTGCATGCCAACTGAAAGACAAGCCCTGGACACCAAATCAAAGTGGATCCAATGCAAGGAGGGCAGATACCACCCAGACTAACAGACAAGTGACTCCACCCAATGAAGGCAAGCACGCCAAACCTTCAGGAACAAAGTGGCTCACACAAAAGCACACAGCTGAGATGCCAGCAAAGCCAAGTAAGTGGGGTGGTGTGGCCTTTTATTTCACATGTGCTTTTATTGATGTCATTTTCAAAGGATAAATCATTACCATATACATTGTGGGATGCAGTGGTGTTTAGGTAAATCTATGTGCCATGGGTGATTATCTCTTGGTAATTCATGTATCTGTGTCCTCAGACAGACCACACAGGGTCTTGCTTATGTGAAACAGCTGATGGATGGAGATGTGTGACTTGCTGGCCTCCTTCTTACAGATTCCAGTCAGGAAGACACCTGAAGCCACCTGGACACCGGTGGGCTCCTCCACTCCACCTGAAAGAGACAGCAGAGACTTTCCTAGGACATCTGCCTCTGCCCTGCTTTTGTCTGTTCTTGCTCCCACATTTCTGGGATAAGATGCATCTCAATAAATTCTTAATACATTTCTGTTTCTCACAAATCTTATAACAAATTTGGTGCTCCATTGATGATCAGATATTTAATTCTTATGCATCTTCCTTGCAGTGTTGGAAGAGTGGGTAGTAATGTCATAGTGGGAATGTGCGAGACAGGAGTGACTTCAGAGACCTGCTGGGGTCACAGCAACACATGGCTCAAAGTATTCCAATGGGACAAGACTCTAAGCTGCCTTGGGGGGACAAACAGGCAGACCTTTTGTGTGAACTGACACTGACAGTCGACAGTTGCTATCTTCAGAAGGGAACCATTGACAGGAAGAGCCATCAGCCCTGCTCATCCTGCAGAGACATCCAGAATTACATAAGAAAGCCCTGTGAAGAGTCCATGATGGGACTCAGGGTAGTGAAGGTGCCACTCCATTGTTTGACTATATCACACAAGGAGTTCAGTCTTGCAATGGTGACACTTTAATCTCTCTAGAGCAGTGGCACAAGACTGTCCCTATAAAAGTCCTGACTCAGGGATGGGTCCTTCAGCTACCTGAGTTTCCATGGAGTGCTGAGCAGTGAGCCAGACATTTTGGGAATCCAGGGAGGATGTATGGAGGGAGCAGCCTGGAAGAATGGAGGGGCAGCTGGGAGGAGCTATTTTCCAGGGTAAGTTCCAGGTTCCCAGGTTCCAGTGTTTCCATCTTAGGCAGTGAAAGAGTGGCTTGGGAAACCATCATGGGGCTTCCTCATGGTTCCTGAGGAGCCCAAGGAATGTCTAGGAGGGCTAAGGAATGGCAGATCTTGCCTGGCTGCCCCTTCTGTCCCTCACTATTCCAAATTCAGTTGCAGAGGAGGGGTTCTGTCTTTGTTCTCAGGGGTGGGGAATCTGCTGGAGTTCCCAGCCAGAATCCAGGGCATCAACTTGAATTGCAGAGATGGTTAAAGGTGCACAGTGGGCTCTGGATTGGAGACAAACCATTCCCAGAGGAGGAAGTCCCCAGAGCCACCCCTGAGAGAGGAAACCTGCTGCAGACTACACTAGGAAGAGCAGGGGCCAGGGAGAGGAAGGAGTAGATAGCAAGGGGGCTAGAAAGATGGAAGGAAGGAAGGGAGGAGTGAAGAGGAGAAGGGATAGGAGGCAGCAGGGAGAGGAGGGGCAAGAGGTGGGGAGGGTGAAGGAGCTGGAGGAGGAGGAAGGGAGAATGGAAGGGGTCCAGGAGTAGAGGGGAGGAAGAGAGTACAGTGGGTATGATGGGGAGAGAAGGAGGGTAGAGAAAGGAAGTAGGGGAGAGACAGGATGGCATAGGGAAAAGAAGGAAAGGCTGGGGTACAGGCGAGGATTGGAGGAGGGCTGGGAGAAGACAGGCTGATGTGCCAGAGGCAATGGCTGAAAACTAGCCCCTGCGGGACTTCCAGAGGGAGTGCCTGTCTCAGGAAAGTGAAAGGAGGAATGGAGAACACATTCTGCATTTGAGACTTAAAGAACTGGGGGACAGGCCTGCTGCTCACTGAGCAGGAGAGACTGGGAGAAGGCAGATGGGAGAGCAAAACCTTGAAGAGCCCTTTGGTCCTTTGTTTGGGGGCACCTTCTGCTGGGTGACTTTTAATGCAGTATGAGATTTGTTGTGTAGTACACCTCTTTCCTGTACTGTTTCCTACCAGTGTTCATTGCAGGCATTTAAGAGAGGGCATTTAAGTTGCTTTCCTTTGGGGTCCATGGTGAGTAATGCTGCAATGAACATTTGGTATATACGTGTCTGTCAGCATCTCTGATCATATCCTTTTGAACATCCCAGAGGCAGAATTACTGCATAAAAGCTATGTATACTTCACATGGCTTTAATATCTGAGACAAAATGATGCTCCTGAAAAGTGGTACTGTCATATATTTCTCCAAGCAGGGTGAGGAGTGCTGGTCTCACAGTATCTGCATCACCTAGACTTTCGTACTTGGTCTGAGTCTTTGCCAGGTAGATATGCAGGAGGTGCTTTTGAATTCCACCATCAGATGCAATGCCCCTGGGGCTCACGTGGTGAGGAATAGATGAGTTCCTCTTCTTCCCATGGGTTTCTATGTGGTCATTGGATCACGGATGCATTTTCCCCTACACCTTGGGGTTAAATATAGGTGTGGAGGCCACTGAGTGTGTACTTGTGTGGACTCTTCCATACTGTTCTTGGATTCATACATATGGCGCCACTGTTCTGGAACATTATTTCAAAATATATTTTAAGACTGTAAAATTTATATAGTCTGTTCCCCACCTCTCCTGCACTCATTTTGAATCTTATTCTTGTTCTTCCAGGTCTCTGACCTATCACCTCCTGCCTGAAAACCTCAGTCAGTGTTAGGGATGAATTTCCACCAGCCATTCGCCTGCACATTGAATGAACAGCACCCTATGGCCTATGATTTTCAGCTGGTCCCAGAATGAGGAACTGCCTAATATGATTGATCTGATGGACAGACTCTCATGCAGTGTGGACTCTGGCAGGGAGTGGCTGGGAATGGGAGGGAACATTAGGGCTGAGATGTGGGCAGCCTTTGGTCTCCCAGTAACATCGTCCTTTTCTCTATTGGGGGACTGGGTTAGTCAGCCTTCTCTCACTGTGACTATGACCCTTGATAACCAATTTATAGGGAGTATAGGTTTATTTTGGCTCATGGTTTCAGAGGTTTCAGTCCATGGTGGTTGGCCCTGTCGTTTGGGGCCTGTGGTGGTACAGTCACTGTGGCAGGAAGGAGCACATTTGGAGTAAGCTATTTGACTCATGGTGGCTGGGAAACAAAAAAGAGATCAAAAGGGAGCAGGGTCCCACATCCCCTTCAGAGCCCTGCCTCCCACAATCTCTCTTCCTTCCATAGGCCCTGTCTCCCAAATGTTCCGCCTGCCAATAGCAGCACAGACTAAGGACACCTTAACCACATAGGCCTTTGGGGACATGTCAGATCCAAACCATAGCAAGCACCCACCACCTGACTTGTAGCTGGGCACATGACTGTCCAAGACGGGAGTCCCTCCCACCTCGAGGAAGTCAAAACTGAGCTTTCCCAATTTGGGGTATTCTCTCTGTTTCTAAGTCCTTCTATCAAGGAATAGAGCCCCTTCTCACTTGGGTTTTCCTTCCAAGTCCTCCAGGGGCAGGGTGTACAAATTGCTCCATCCCACTTGTGTGTATGGCAGGGCAGGAGGCATCTGCCTTCTGACTGCAGATCACAACCACCCCTCACCCATGCCCTTCTGTGATAGGGGTGGGCTCTGCACCCCAAAGCAGGTTGAGGGGAGTATGCCCCATGAGTTCACACATCAAGGACAGCAGAATGTGGTCATGGGACAGATTTTGTGTCCCTCAAAGCCTGATATATTCTCCCTGGCCCTTTCCAGGAAAAGTGTGGGACACTGACCAAGAAGTTAATGATCGTAACATTAGCAATAGCTTGCCCTATGCAGACTGCCTGTGTCTTTTCAGCCACCTTTAGGGCTTTCCTGGTTCTACTTCATTTATTCTAATTAGTTTCCCCCGATATTCAGAAGGGGACCTCAATACTCCAATTAAGAGATGAGAAAACAGAGGCTCATTTGCTTTTGGTAATTTGCCACATGGTTGAGTCAGGTTTGATCCCCAGTGCTCTGACTTCAAAGGCCACTCTGAGTACTACTGCCTGGGTTCTGGGCCCTGTGGCCCCTCCACTTTCACACTTGGGGTCCCTTAATACAGCCAAAGCTTCAGGAACCACCAGCCCAGAGATGGATAGACTGACAGACACATCGAGTTTGCCCTGGCATGTCCTGCTTGACATGTCCCTTGCCCTTGGCTACAGCTGTCCCTGCACCTGCCATTGGAACTGGCTGAGATTCTGTAACTAAACCATTCCTGGTCTCTTATCCCCATGGGCCATTCCCCCAGAGCCTGACTGTTCTCTGTTCTCAGAAATGCAGTGAAAGAGCCCTGGTCACCAGGGGCAGACACTTTGGAACCAAGAAAAGATTTTCAGGTGGGTTCTTCTAGTAAGGTTGGCATTGACATTTATGCCCATGAGGAGATCTCAGCATGCAAAGCTAAAACCTTGGTCCCAGAGAGAAATGAAAGCTGAGCAGCAGAGGGCTGGCAGGGAAAGGGGGGTGGGAGGTATGAGAACTATTGGGAAGTGAACGTGTCATTTAAAAAAGCAAGTCAGTTCTGAAATGATTACAATTGGCCTCTAAGGCCAGAGTTAGCCAAACCTGACCCTGGGTATCCCTCAATCCCAGTAGGCAACTGGCTGGGTCTAGGGGAGGGGGGGAGCATGGCTAGTGGCTGCTGTTCCCTAGCCATGTGGCCAGACCTTGAATGTGAGAGCCTGGTCCACGGCACCCCTGCTCATTGTTCACACTGCAGCATGAGATCCTGCTGGTGGTTAGGGTGGTAAGCTAGTTCCACTGGGTTGGAGGGCTCAAAGTCATGATGAGAGAGCTTGACCCTTCTGTGTGGGTGAGTACACTCTGGAAAGAGCCCCTCTTCCTCGACTCAGGTGGTTGAGCCCCCCTCTGTTAGCACACATCCTGCCTGTGATGTTCAGGGGTGGCCCTCTGATGTCACAAAGGGCACCACTAGGTTTTCTGCTGCTAGGCATGGGCCAAAGAGGTGCTGTGATGCATGGAGAGCCCTGCAGAGTGGAAGCCAGAGCTCTGGAGTCTGTGAGGAGCCACAGCCCTGCCCTGCCCCACTGGCCAAGTGTCCTCCCTCAGGCCAGGCCCTTCCTCACTGGGGTGTGGTCCAGCACCCTAGGCAGAGTAGGCTCACACCATGGGCCCTCAGCATCCTGGCAACCTCACCTGTCTCTTCCTATTCTTGGGTTCATGGCAGATAGATGGGGAGAGAGGGGCCCTGCCACCCCACACCCTCCCCCCCACCTCCCTTCCCACCTTCTGCCTCAGTTTCTCCTACACAAACTGGAGCACAGTCACCTTCAGCCCTCCTCCCTCAGCTGGGGCCACCCTGTGAGAAGCATAGGTGATGGGCTGTGTCAGGCATCCAGGTGTGAGGTTTGATGATAGGGCTCAGTC